ACACAACAACCGGTGAAGAATGAATTGGATACTGCCCCTACTAGGGGAGACAACAGGTTAGCAAAGGCATCGAGAGCTTTCGGAAGACTCCATCAAAGAGTCTGGTGAAATAATTATCATCACCATGGCCAGGCTTCCTGAATGAAGATTTGGGAAGGCCTCTCCCCACGTCTGTGTCATAGTTTCAGATTGGCCCCCCCTTGAGAGTCGGGGGGCTCAGAGGTGATTGGGTGCCAGGGCAGTGATTTTTGGAGGGCCAATCACCGTCCATGTTGTTCCCTTCTGCTGAAAAACCATATCTCAACAACCAAACCAGAAAAGAAGGTAGTAGTAATTGTCATTGAAGTAGTAGCCATGTGGTAAAGCCACAAGGAGAAGGGGCGGGAGCCCCTCTGGGTGGTCACGGCCCCCCCAGCCCCAGCTGGGGGCTGCAGGAACTTGGAACAGTATTAAACTGGGCCGAGTTCTGTAGCCGAGAGCTGGGGGAAGCTTCTGCACGGTGAGCAGCAGCAAGAGATACTGAAAGCAGCAGCAGATCAGCACTGGCCGGAGCAGTGGCAGAGAGCCAAGAGAGAAGAAGAAGCAGCAAAGCCGGCACTGCAGCCAAGAGAGGCAGAGAGAACTCCTGCAAGGAGAGAGAGAAAAGAGCCAGCAGCAGAGAGCAGAACTCAATTCTACAGAAAGAGCTGGGGTAAGAACTGAAAACCCAAACTCCCCCAAACTCCTTGGAGACCCTCCTAGAGAGAGAGGAGGGGTGGTGGACTCCCACCTGAGAGGAGTCCTAAAATGCAGCACCAGAGAGACAGAGAGGAGCTCAGAAGCTCAGGCGTCCTGGAAAGCTGGACCGGGACGGCCAAAGGAATGCAGAGGGGGTGACCTTGGCCCCCCTGGCTGCTGCTGAGAAGCGACAGCCTGAGATCAGAGCACAGAAGCTCTGCAAGGGGCTTGAATCCCCTGAGGATAAGGACCGTCACAACAGTTCCTATACTTCGTGAGATGACGTGGTGAAGTGACCCTTGTCCTGGTGAACACAGCCCACGGAAGAGAAGACCCTTGCCTAGAGTCAAAGGGCCGAGAGGGGCTTGGAGACTCCCCCTCGTGTGTATTGGTAAAGATCCAGCTCCAGCTGCTGCATGAAAGAGGAGAGCCTGCTGCCCTCGAGACACTGCTGCTTTAAGAGTAGAAAGAATCTCTTCCTCCTTCCCTCCTGGACTTTGATTTGGAGGGAAAAAGAGATTTGATCCATTGTAAATACTGCTTTATCATAGTAGAGAGAGTTGAGATTGTACATGATGTATTAGAATATTTATTTGTACAGTGCATTGGAATATATTCCCTTCCCCCCATTTTGAGTCTCGTGTGGTGTCTGGAAAACCCATCTCACACTGGGTTGAGATGTGGGAGGGGGGCTTGAACTCGGGCATTGGATTTTGGGGCTCTCAAACCATTCCAGTCTGTTACAAGCGCCTTGGTGGCTAAAAAGGCCAATACGAAATAGACACGGCCAGTTGCAAAAGGCACAGCAGAAAGACTCCTTAGGAGATATATTCTGCAAGGCACAATTCTTTCTGCCTTGTCTTTTCTCCTCAAGAGTGATCCCACGGGCTTTCTCAAAAGCATCAGCAGCGTTACAGACAGTGTGTCTGCAGACCTCCCGATTGGAGGCCAGAGTAGACCAGTTCTGTTGATCAATATGGCCAAGGCTGAGATGTTGTTTCAGGGAGTCCTTGTAAATAAACACCCGAAGAAAAGTACAAAGATCAGGGTTTACAGAGCTACTGTGCTGTCGACTCTCTCAGATGGGTCCAAATCATGGCTCATTTACCGCCACCACCTGCGACTCCCAGAACACTTCCATCAACTCTGTCTCCGCACAATCCTAAACATCCGCTGCTCACATTATGGAACTAATACGTCTGTTCTACAACAGGCAGCAATTACGAGGATTGAGGCCATGTTGCTGAGAACACAGCTGCGTTGGGCAGGGCACGTCTCCAGGATGGAGGAACAACCACCGCCTCCCTAAGATCGGGATCTATGGCAAACTTGCCACTGGCTGCCGCAAGAGAGGAGCCCCCAAGAGGAGATACAAGGACTCCCTGAAGCAACATCCCAGCCTTGGCCACATTGGTCTCCATCGCTGGTCTACTCTGGCCTCCAATGGAGAGGGCTGCAGACACACTGTCTCCAACGCTGCTGCTTCCTTTGAGAACGCCCGCAGGATCCCATCGAAGAGAGGAGACAGCGCAGAAAGAATCGTGTCTTGCTGACACCATCCAAGGAGTCTTTCTGCTGTGCCTTTTGCAACCCATCTCGTCTGTCTCGCATTGGCCTCTTTAGGCACCAGCGCTTGGAGCAAATGTGGGGAGAGCCCTTCCCAAATCTTCGTTGGAGAAGTCCAGCCATGATCTGGCTGCCATCCACCACATTGCTCTCCAAATGATGCCGGACTTTTGCCAGCTCTTCTTGCAGCTGGCATTTGCTCTTCTCCAGGTTTCCCCACTTCCCACGCAGGCTGGACAGCTCTTCTTGCAAACCCCGGCTTGTGGCTTCCAGCTGCGTGCACTTTTGACATTCCCTGTCCAGCTGCTGGGAAAGTTCAGCAACCTGCAGACAGAAAGAACAAAACAAGAACTCAGCGGGATGGAAAGGCAGTGAATTCTGGGAAAACCCCCAAAGGGGACCTTCAAGGGACCTTAAAGATCATCCGCTTCCAAGCCTCCTGCTTGGCCATGCCTCAAGCCCACGCTACGGGCCTGTCCCACTGATTACAACTCCTGGCGTGTGCTTTCCACGTCTCCTGCTCTCATGCTCTGCATTCTGGCAGGGATGTGCTCTCACACTGACTGCTGACTACAGGGCAAAATAGAAGGCTGTGAAGACTTCCCAAGGAGTAGGGAGCTCTGCTGTTTCAGGGAGGAAGACGTAGCAGGAACTACAGGAGCAAATGCCTCCTATCCAGGGTAACATATTAAAGCAAGGGCCAGGGAAGAAACTGCTAGAACGAAGGTCAGGGATGAAGAAAAAGGTGTCTCACAGATGTCTGGTGGCATTTGGCACTCACGGTGACATCAGCCATTTCAAATAGGTCACACACACCAGACGTGTCAATTTAGGGGAGGACTTAGGTGGGAGGTTCCTGCCCCACAGTGCTCTTTCCCACAGTTTCTCTTGTCAAAGAATGGAGTTCCACAGCTCATTGCTTCCATTGCAAGATTTTGGGGCCTTTGACCACTCGGGAAAATTTGGACCAACCTGATGACCAGAAGTCTTGGGCTTCACCACAGATGCCTGGGTGGTGTTCTGAGACCCAGGCTTCTGCTCAGTCCCAAACTGATGCCAAGATGCCCCAGGCCAGTTGGATCCAGAAGTGGACTTGCAGCCAGGTGTCCGCTGACGGCGCTGCTGGGGACTGCAGATCTGCTTCTGTGGCGCTCCCAAAGGAGCTTGGTGTTGGCCTCTGCAAGTCTCTCATTAGCTCTGAAACATTCACAAGCACACACAGAGTCATCTTGGGCAGGAAGGCTTTTGCAAAGTTACCCTCCACGGCCTTCACTATTACCCCACTTGGAAAAGCCAAGGGCATTAAGAGCGTCCCAAACGAGCACATCCTTTGATCTGAGCTTGTTCACAGGGCCTGTTTCTAAGAAATCACACCAAGTGCAAGGAGCAGCCAGTGGCACCTCCAGAAGAACTCTGGGCTGCCCTGGCCTTCCCAAGGAAAGCTCAACCCTCAGAGCCGCTGCCAAAACAGAAGCCAAGAAAGAGCCTTCTTAGTTTGGATTCACAGAATCCAACTCTCTTCTCCCAGAGGCCTCTCCTTATTCAAACAGGAAAGGCCACAAGATTCATCTTTTCTCTCCCCCACGGGATGAGGAGATTAGAGACTGGCCAAAAGACTGCCTGCTCAAACAACAGCAACTTGGAAAAGACACCAGCAATGCCCTGGTGGCACTGCTGTGGGGTTACTGCTGCAACTCGAAAGAGAAAGGAAGACAGGTCTGATGAAGGGAAGGGTCTTAAGGAACTCTCTCCACAAATAGGCCACGTTCTGCTTTCACACCTGACGCTGGCCAGATGTAGAAAAGGGATTTGAGAAGGAAAATGCACGAGCAAAAAGGAGTCTCTTATTACCACGCCAAAAAAACATGGACTTACCTTTCCAGTCTCTTGGCCAGGCTTTTTCTGCTTCTCGCTTCCACCACATACAGCTCTTTATACTTTGCCACTTCTCCCTGGCTGGATTCTTTCTGAAAAGGTCTTTCTGCTTGCTTGCTTTTTCTCCTTCCCAGTGCACGCTCAAGATCTCTAATTCTGTCTTCTAACTGCTTTTTCAGGGAGTCCAAATGGCTGCTTCGGATTTCTTCTAACGTGTCCTGGTAGGCTGCCTGTGCCTGAAGGAGACAGTGCACCTTCAACCCCCACAAGAAAAACAGAGCTCTGCCCAGCA